GAGTAGGAGGAGGAGGAGGAGGAGGAGGAGGAGGAGGAGAGGAGGAGGCGAGGGCGGAGGCGGAGGGAGGCGGAGGGGAGGGGAGGAGGAGGAGGAGGAGGAGGAGGAGGAGGAGGCGGGAGGAGGAGGAGGAGGAGGAGGAGAGTAGGATAGAGGAGGAGGAGGAGGAGGAGGAGGAGGAGGAGGACGAGACGAGGAGGAGGAGGAGGAGGAGGAGGAGAGGAGGGAGAGGAGGAGGAGGAGGAGGATGAGAGAGGGAGGAGGAGAGGAGAGGAGAAGGAGGAGGAGAGGAGAGGAGAGAGGAGGAAGGAGGAGGAGGGAGGAGGAGGAGGAGGGGAGGAGGGAGGAGGAGGAGGAGGAGGCGGGAGAGGGGGGTGGAGTTGCGGAGGAGGAGGAAGAGGAGGAGGAGGGGTCGCCCGGCTGGGTCGCAGGCCACGACCTCGCCGGGGAGTTCGAGGCCGGGGTGCTGCGCTGTCCCAAGGGCGACGCCCACGCCGTCACCGTAGTGTCCAGATCCCGAGCGCGGGGGGCCTGCCGGCTATGTCCGCGGAGGAGCAAGAGGTGCGCAGAGGGGCGAACGAGGGGGAGGGAGGAGGGAGAGAGAGGGAGGTAGGGGGAGGGAGGAGGAATGGGAAGGGAGGGAGGGAGGAGGAGAGGGAGGATTAGGGAGGATGGAGGAATGGGAAGAGGAGGGAGAGGGAGGGAGGGAGGGGGAGGGGGCCCGAGGGAGGGGGAGGGGCCCGAGGGAGGGGGGAGGGGGAGGAGGAGGAATGGGAAGGAGGAGAGGGAGGGACCCATTGGACTGTGACCCATTGGGTTGGTTCCCGCGTATACGCGGCGCTCCTCCCTTCTGCGAGCGCCCGCGACCTATAGGCCCTATGGGTCGTCGCAGCCAGGAAGGCCCCGCAGGTAGCGCCTGTAGGCGCTGCCGTTGGGGAACGCGGGTGCCTTTAGGCAGGGAGGACCTATAGGCGCGCCTGTAGGCGAGGAGGGCCTGTAGGCGTGCCTGTAGGCAGGGAGGAAGGAGGAGGGAGAGAGGGGGGGGGACTATAGGCAAGGAGGGCCTGTAGGCATGCCTGTAGGCAGGGAGCGGGGGAGGGCCTGTAGGCGTGCCTGTAGGCAAAGGGGGGGGGGCGGTGGAGGAGTGCCTATAGGCACGGGGTGCCTGTAGGCGTGCTAGTAGGCAGGGAGGAAGGGCGGGGGAGGGATGGGGGGAAAGGCGCGCGCGCCGTGCCCCTTTCTGACCGTCCGGCGCTGGCATGCGTGCACGAAGGTCGAGGCGGCCACGCCTATCAGCCGCACCTTGGCAGCTAGCTCGTCCACGTCCAGCGTGTCCCGCAGCGCCCACAGCAAGAGCTCGCCCCTCGGCGGGCCCCACGCGGCATGCACCGCCTCCCGGTGGGCCTCCATGACGGCACAGCATTCAATCAGGTGCTGGAGGCAGACGGCGCCGCCAGCGCACAACGGGCACGCCTCGGGCAGGCGCTCCGCCGGCAATCCCCAGACCCCGACCGGGATTTGGAGCGACACGCGCGCGGCGCACCACGGGAGGAAGGGATGGTGGGATGGACGGGAGGAGGAGGAGGAGTAGGAGGAGGAGGAGAGGAGGAGGAGGAGCAGGAGGGGAAGGAGGAGGATGGATATGATGATGATGATGATGATGATGATGATGATGATGATGATGATGATGATGATGATGATGATGGTGGTGGTGGTGGTGGTGTGATGATGATGATGATGATGATGATGATGATGATGATGATGATGATGATGATGATGATGATGATGATGATGATGATGATGATGATGATGATGACGATGATGATGATGATGATGATGATGATGATGATGATGCTGATGATGATGATGATGATGTGATGATGATGATGATGATGATGATGATGATGATGATGATGATGATGATGATGATGATGATGATGATGACGACGACGACGACGACAACGATGATGAGGCTGATGATAAGGATGCTGATGATGCTGATGATGATGATGACAAAAATGATGATGCTGATGATGATGCTGCTGATGAGATTGGGGATGATAATGCTGATTATGGCGGTGATTATGATTGATGATGATGATGATGCTGATGATGGCTAAGGTGATAGTATTGATGACGCTGATGATGATGCTGATGTGACGATGATACGAGTAGTAGGATGATGATGAGGAGGAGTAGCAGGGGGAGGAGGAGGAGAAGGAGGAGGATGAGGAGGAGGACCAGAGTAAGCCCAGGAGGTATCAACGATGCTGCGGCGCAACCTCCCGTCCCAAGTCCCCTGGTAGGAAGTTCCTGCGAGTGCCCCTTGCTGCTGCTCGAAGCTCCCTTTTTGAACGACGAGCACCCGGTGGGCCTGCCTCTCAGGCGATACTCGGGGGCGGAAAAGAGGGGGGTGATGACTAGGGGGGGTTGGATATCATGGCGTGGGCCATGATATCTCCCCTGATTTCGTGGCGCCTCTTCTTATTTTATTACGTCCCTGGCCCCCCCGCTGGGCCGCGCACATGCCGCCGGTCATGATTTGCACCCCCCCCTCTTGGACACCCCCCTCTTGGCCGCTCCCGAGATACGCAGCGCTGTGCTGAGGGGTTCCACGTTCCCGTCCTTCCAGTGGCAAGAAGCGCAAACATACAGGACGGTGCAGTTCAAGGACGTGTCCAGCGGCAGCCCCGTTTCGAAGAGGAGGGAGCTGCCGCCGTCCGCGCAAGTGGCCCATACTCTCAAGCTTTGTGCACACCGTTTGCGTCAGTCTCGACAGGGAACCTCTTTTTGAAAAGGAGCCGCCCTCCATCCGTGAAGCTGTTGCTCGATGTGGAAGTCAAGCGAGAACTGCATTCTGAAAACCAGCCGTTCTCCATGCTTGTAAACTGGGGATGTGTGCGGATGTGTTTTGCACTCATGCGCGCGGCGTTGAGGCGAGAGCCCCATTTGAACACGAATTGGCGTTTTTCTGCGCCAGTGTAGGAAGCTTCCATAACAGATCTGCGCGGCGCAAAGGCGAGAGCCGAATCGTGAACGCCACCGGCCCTTCTTCCTTGTCACCTGCGATGATGATGGACAATGATGAGGCTGATGATGATGATGATGATGATGATGATGATGATGATGATGATGATGATGATGATGATGATGATGATGATGATGATGATGATGATGATGATGATTAGGAGGAGGAGGAGGAGGAACAGGAGGAGGAGGCGGAGGAGGAGGAGTATCGAGGTGAAGGATGGGGATGAGGAGGAGGAGGAGGAGTAACTTGCGTCTTCTGCAGGATCGTACTGAATCAGGAAGTCTCAAGCGAGTCGCCCCGCCTGCCCCTCGGGCACGTCTGGCGGTAACTACGACAGGGGAGAGGAGGCGAAGGAAGACGAGGACGAGGCGGAGGAGGAGGAGGAGGAGCAAAAGGAAGAGGAGGAGGAGCAAGAGGAGGAGGGGAAGGAGGTGGAGGAGGAATATGATGATGACGATGATGATGGTGGTGATGATGGTGATGATGATGATGATGATGATGATGATGATGATGACGGTGATGACGATAGTGATGCTACTGATGCTGATGCTGATGATGATGTTGATAACAATGATCTTGATGATGATGATGATGATGATGATGATGATGATGATGATGATGATGTTCATGACGATGCTGATGATGCTGATGTTGATGATGATGTTGATGCTGATGCTGCTGATGATGATGATTATGATGCTGATGCTGATGTTGCTGATAACGATGCTGATGATGATGCTGATGCTGCTGCCGATGCTGGTGATGCTGGTGCTGATGCTGATGATGATGCTGACGATGAGGATGAGGATGAGGATGAGGAGGATGATGACACTGATGACAATGGTGCTGATGATGCTGCTGATGCTGATGCTGATGCTGATGCTGATGCTGATGCCCATGATGATGCTGATGATGATGCTGAAGATGATGATGATAATGATGATGATGATGATGATGATGATGATGATGATGATGGTGATGCTGGTGATGCTGGTGATGGTGATGATAATGATGACGATGCTGATGATAAGGATCATGATGATGCTACTCAGGATCATGATGATGATGCTGATGTGGATGATGATGATACTGCTGTTGATGATGATGATGATGATGCTGCTGCTGATGATGATGATGATGATGATGATGATGATGATGATAATAATAGTAATGATGATGATGATGCTGATGATGATGATGGTGATGACGATGATGATGATGATGATGATGATGATGATGATGATGATGATGATGATGATTGTCATTTTTGATGATGATGGTGGTGACGATGATGATGCTGATAATGATTATGATGATACTGATGATGATGATGATGATGATGATGATGATGATGATGATGATGATGATGCTGATGCTGATGATGATGATGATGATGATGATGATGATGATGATGATGATACGATGATGATGATGATGATGATGATGGATGATGATGATGATGATGATGATGATTATGATGATGAGGAGGAGGAGGAGGAGGAGGAGGAGGAGGAGGAGGAGGAGGAGGAGGATCGAGGTGAAGGATGCTGAGGAGGAGAGGAGGAGAGGAGGAGGAGGAGGGAGGAGGAGGAGGAAGAAGAAGAGAGGAGGAGGAGGAGGGCGAGAGGAGAAGAGGAGGAGGAGGCATGAGACTAGAGGACGAGGAGGAGGAGGTCGGGTGGTGGGGGATGGGAGCCTCTATAGAATGGTGCTAGCGTTTTCGGAGGGCTCAGGACGTCGCAGGATATGTTCGGAAGGTTCGGACTGTTTCCAGGGTTGTCTGGAGCGGTAGAAGCAGAAGGAGCACTAGGCAGGATGAGGACGGAGAGGAGGAGGAGGAGGAGGAGGAGGAGGAGGAGGAGGAGGAGGAGGAGGAGGAGGAGGAGGAGGAGGAGGAGGAAAAGGAGGAGGCGATGGAGGAGGAGGAAGAGGAGGAGTGGAGGGAGGAGGGGCATGAGGAGGAGGAGATGGAGAAGGAGGAGGAGGAGGAGGAGGCCCAGAAAGCTAATAGGAAGCCACAAAGCGAGAAGCCAAACCACTTTGAAAGTCTATAGGTTTGTGATGGATGTTGGCCTCTTGGGAGGTGCCTTGCGAGGCGGGAGTGACACTTGGAACCCTCTTGTGTCTGTCTTGGAGCGCCTTGGGCCCTCTTGGGCGCTCTGACCGCTCCGCCCCCCCTTCCCCCTCCCAGGTCAAGGGGAGGGGGATAGGGGGAGGGGTCAATACACCCCCTAAATAGCAAGTCGTCTCGCGCACTCCCACCCGCCCTCCCAACCAATAAGTAACACCCGAGCCTCAGCATGTTCAGCGGTCGTCTCTGAATGGGCAGCTACTGGGAACCAAAACCGACCCCATGTGCGCGACGTTGGGGCGAGGTGCGCCACGCGTGCCAGGCGCGCCACGCGCGTCAGGCGCGCTACGCGAGTCAGGTGCGCCACGCGCGTCAGGCACCCGTGTGGCCCAAGCGTGCCCGGCACGCCTGGTGCGCTAGATGCGCCAC